ATAGAATATTACAGAAATCCCCTTTCAATAATCACTGATTTTACTGCTCTTGGACAAATTGCATCTATTTACTCCCCTATGGCTCCATTCACCATCTCTCTAACTTTCCAAACCCAAATATCCCTTCCTGGTCGCCACTCCCCGTTAAGTATTATCTTTCCCATCTCCAACAGAATGTAAAATCTTCCATGGAAGGAACTTCTTCGATTTATATTCGTATCCTCAGCACTTAGCACCATGCTTGACCCGAAAAAAGAACTTAATAAAATACTTTCTCATTCATTGAGAAGATCCTGTAATATTTTAAGGCTTGATGTAATCAGAATAGTGTCATTTACATAAACAGGAGTATCTAGGGAGGTTATCTAAGATTACTTCAATTAAATGTAAGCTTTTATGGGTTCCACCATACTGGAAAGATCAAGTATGATCTCGGAAATCTATTGAGAATATCCCATCAAAGAACCAACCTACCTAAGCATGGAGACTAGGTAATGGATACTTTTTTCATGGCAACCCACAAATCAAGTAAGCACAATCTGTAAGCACAATCTAAATCCATTTTATTTCTGAGGCTATCTCAAAGCATGGGTTAGTTATTTCTATAGACTTTTTATAAACAACTTCATTTTTATTCTTGCTTTTGGTACCTTTTTTGTAAGAACTTAGAAACTATTTCTTACAGCCAATTATTGGGCAGTTAAGAGTTCAGAGTTAGAAAAATTCAAAGGAATTTCCAACTGCTTTTTGGTTTTTAAAAGTATTTTAGCAAGAACCACAAGGGCTAGGAGGACTGAGGGAAGCTTATCTGTTGAAACTTTGTGTACAATAAACTTACATGCCATATTGAACATCCATTAAAAGCAACTGTCCTAGATACTGTGCAAAGACAAGTCTGTGTGCATAAGCAACTTAAAAACAACACTAATAATGAAAGACATTGATACACCACTCTAGATGTACAAAACATGTGACATGCATTCGTTGACTCACTCCTGCTAACAAATCTATGAGGCAGGTAGGTACTACAGGTAATATTAAACCCATTTGAAATAGGGCAAAACTGACACTTGGAGAAGCTTAGCCATCTGCCCATCATCACAGAGAGGGTTAGTAGCAGGGGTGGGAAGCAAACCCAGTCCACCATCCAGGCTGTCATGCTGCCTCCTTCCTTTCAGTTTACAATTTAATGGGAAAAAAAAGATAGATACCTAAGTCCTAAAATCCTATAGGTAACTATAACACAAAATAGGACAATAAATACAGAAGCAAGAAACCACAGCTTCTTTATAGAAGAGCTAACTTCTGACAAGGAATGTGGGAGGAAAACTGTGGGGAAGGGTACTATTGGCTGTCCTCTATCTTCCCTTGAAGTGATTTTTCATGGGATCATAAAATGCGAGAGACAGACATAAATGGTTATCTAGTCCAACTTACCCGTACCATAATTCCCAGCTAAAACATCCTCATAAAGTGGTCATCCACCCCATGCTCAAAGACCTCTAACGACCAACCAATAATGCAGGGTAAAAAGCCAACAACAGAATGAAGTATCCCTATTTTCAACTGGGACTGCACTTTATCTGTGCCCCTTTTACTGCAAGAGAACACAGAGGAAGCAAATTAGAAGCTCGTGGGTACAGAGAATCCCTGTGTAGATACAAACATATCTATTTTACTTGTCTGAGTTATAATAGCTGACATATACCGAAATAAGTCTACATGTTATTTCGTTTGCAGTAATATGTACTATTTCAATAGGTCATTATAAATGCACATATAATTCCACCATATCCATATATCTATACCCCTCCCTGTCTCGATATAGATAGCAATACATTTATATTGATATATATGTGTATGTGTATATATATATATATATATATATACATATATATAAAACACTCTCCTCTCTTTCTCCTTCTCTCTCTTTCTCTCTCTCATACACACATACTCTTCCCCTTTGATATGGATTGCTACAGATCTATATCGATATAGAGAGACAGAACTATGTCTCTCTGCATATATATGTATGTATGTATGTATGTATGTATGTATGTATGTATGTATACATACACACACATATATAGACAGAGAAAGACAGAGAGAAAGAGAGAGAGAGAAGGAAGGAGGGGGAATGTTGGCTTCTGTTAGAAATACCTTACACTATAAAGAACTTGCTTCTCTGGTACAGTAAACTGTCCTTTTCTATGGACTACTGTATAATGTATTGTATAATTAGAAGAAACATGGCTGGGGGGGAGGGTGACCTATAGTCCCCCTTCCTAAATAAAGACAACCTACAGTATCTGACTGAAAAAAGTCCCAAAGACTGAGAACAGACCACTGTTTTTACACACTGCAGTCATTCACTTCCTCAAAAATATTCTGGCTGTGGATTAAGTTTCTGCTTCAATCTTTAGTATTATTTTACCTGCCTCAAACCATCACCTTTAAGTATGACCATAAATGAGATTAAGGGGTTTTCTATTACCCCAGATAAGCTTGAATATTGTGCTCAAGTGGCATTTAGTAACTGACATCACCAGGAATTTATAAGGAATTGCAATAATAATTCCCTCAGCATAATGCCCTATTTTCTTCACATAAAATTCCTGGTTTTCCCCAAAAGCTATGCTTCTGCAAGGATTTTGTTTTATTCATTTTTCTTAAGCTTGGCACAAGAACCCTAAGGATGGATAGGAGTTGGATTCACGGACGAGAAGGGGGACACAGGAAAGCATGAGATTAGTGTGAGCCTGACATGCTGGGGGATAGAAGGGCCTTAGAATTACTCAGAGGATAAGTTTGCCTATCCTAGTAGAAAGTATCCATTTCAAAAACTGAATACTCTTAACCAAAAAGTAATTCCTAAATCTAGTGTCAGGAGTAGTAAGTGTGTTAAAGACATATTTACACACACTTAAACTTCCCCACTGCTACCCTGAAGATGTCATGCTCATTCTCATACCTGAAGCTTCAATTTGCCCCATCCCTTTGTCTACACTGTCCTTTCCATCAATCCACCTTCCACCCACCCTTCCAGGATCTCCACCATTCTAACCTCCTCCTTCACTAACCTGCTTTAATGCCCAATGCTCATGCTATCACAGCATTTGCTATCTGGGACACTGAAATGATACCTAATCAATCAAAAGATGCCACATGACATCTTTTCCACTTTTATTTTAACTCAGCTCTTGTTTTGCCTTCTAGATCCTAAAGGTAATTTAATAATAACAGTTAGCATTTAGATAGCACTTTAAGATTTGCAGAGCATTTTACATACATTTATCTCATTTGATAGCTGCAACAGTCCCATGAGGTAGGTACTATTATTATCTCCATTTTGCAGATGAGCAAAGTGAAGCTGAGACAGGTCATGTGACTTGCCCAAGCTACACATATAACTGATGTATGAGTCAGGTCCAGCTCAGGTCTTTCTGACCCCAAGTTCTGTGCTCCTATCCACTGTGCTAACTACAGACAGGGATCATGTTCTCTACCTTACAGTGCTAAGCAGAGTGGGAGCTTGGGAAAGTCTTTCTAAATCAAGGAATGATTGAAAAATGAATGTGGACAGGGAGTAGCTGGTTGGCCCGGTGAATACAGCATCAGCTCTGAAGTCAAGAAGACTTGAGTACAAAGCTGGCTGTGTGACCCTGGACAAATCACTTAACCCTGATAAGAAAAGAAAGAAAGGAAGGAAGAAAGAAGGGAGGGAGGAAGGGAAGGAAGGGGAGGAAGGAAGGAAGGAAGGAAGGAAGGAAGGAAGGAAGGAAGGAAGGAAGGAAGGAAGGAAGGAAGGAAGGAAGGAAGGAAGGAAGGAAGGAGAGAAAGAAAAAGAAAGAAAGAGGGAAAGACAGAGAAAGAGAGAAAGAGAGAAAAAGGAAGGAAGAAAGAAAGAAAGAAAGAAAGAAAGAAAGAAAGAAAGAAAGAAAGAAAGAAAGAAAGAAAGAAAGAAAGAAAGAAAGAGAGGCCAGTATATAACAAGACAATGATAGAAGATAGCCAAACCACGTACTTCATTGAGGTCCATAAAATGTAAAACGACCTACAAGTAGGTCTCTTGCACATTGGCCAGATCCTCCTCTGAAGGAGGACACAGACAAAAGTCACACAAGACGAGAAGATGCAGATGAGTTACAATCTGTACATATGAAGAAAGTAGACACACTGCACTGTTGAGATTAAAGGTTTACTGCAGGTCTAAGTGGCTGAAGGAAAATTCAGTGCTAGGACCAAGATGTTACTTGTATATCATTTGAATTCAGATCTATTGCTATGAAAGTACCTAGATAAAAATGAGGGAGAAGCAAACTGTGGCAAACATGAAGATGATTTAATGATAGAAACATGAAGATTATTTAACAAATAGAAATAGATTTAACAAAGGAAAAGCTCTTTGGCTTGAAGAGCAATATAGCCTTGGCGTCTCTTCTTGGAGAAAAGATCTAAGTTTGAATATCACCTCTGAAGCATGTTAACAAAGCAAATCACAGAACCTCGGGGAGCCTCAGTTTCTTTATCTGTAAAATGAGGATAATAATCCTTGTAGAACTGACCTACTCACAGGTTTGTCGGGAGGATTAAATGAGATAATAATGTTTGTAAAGTGCTTTCTAAGCCTTAAAGTAACATACATCAACCCTTGTAAAAATCATGCCAATTTTGCCACCAGTTACTTCTGGAGACATGACTAGAGTTCATATTCCTCTCCCTACACACACACAAGCGCGCGCACACACACACACACACACACACAACAAAGAATTATATCTATTATTCCCAATGTAACTACACAATTCATTCGTGCAGAGTTTGGCCCACTTTAAAATGAAAAAGATTAAATAAGGAGATGATTTTGTCACACAAAAAGTTGCATTTTGTTATTTCATCATCGACAACATTTTGCTTGTTCAACAACACCACAGACGGAAAAAAGGGTTGGCGGGCAAACAGGTTGGTATCTCGGAGGACAGTGTTGGAGCGGCCCTTACTTGTACTGCTGGTGATCTTTTGTGCTTCTTGTTTTGGCCATGAATCTCTCTGCTAACTTTTCCAGGTTGCGGGAATACTCTGTCTCAATTTCAGCTTTTTTGCGGAAGAAATCTTGCAGGTCCTGCAGGAGCTGTACCCGCATCTCTGTCTGCTGCTCCAGGCATTTCTGCTGCTCTATCAGCTGAGCTCGAATTTCTAACAATGAAAGAAAAACAGAATGAGCAGGTTCAGGAAAACATAAGAAGATGTATTAACATGAGTAGACTATATAACAGGGAAGTAATCAGCTTCTCACTGTATTCGGCACTGACCAAGTTCAATTCGGGCTTCGGAATCCACAACAATCGCCAATCCTTTTTTTTAAATAGGACAAACATGAAGATAATCGATGAAAAAAAAATCCCAAACTATCAGCCGCTTTTCTACTACTATTAATATGTTTCGAGATGTAATTACAAATCATGAAGAAGAAAAAAAAATCAAGTGCTTAAGAGACTGCCACAATTACTAGCAAGGACTTTTATAGATTTCTGAATAATCAAATATATTCTGGGATTTTTTTTTTTAAATCTTGAAATCAAGACCTCACCTCAATCAACCTTGAACCAACATGGGCAAGAAAAGAGCATCATTTCTTCCCAGCTTCTAATCTACCGCATGTCTTGCCAGTTGGCAATATACAGAGACTGACATCTGGTAATTTTTATTTAGTGCATGTATTTCTAGTTTGTCAAATACACAGCGTCAGAATCATGGGGATGCTGCTTCTAAAAATAGTTTCTTTTTTTTCTCTCCAAATAATTCATGCACAATTGGGCTGCTTCACAAGGGGTTTCCGCTTCTTGGTTCCATTCACAAAATTCACGTGTGTCTTCTACTTCACCTTTGCTATTTAGAAACTGCTTTAACCAACAGCTTATGGATACCTATTGCATGGGGAGAATGATTTGATTCCTAATCTTCACGATTTCTAATATATGAAGGTCACCTGCCATTGATTCAAAGTGAAGGTGAAGCTTTTAGCAGTTTTTATTTCATAAAACTAGAAGAGTAAAATGTGTCATGCAAAAATACTCACAGATATGGGTAACAATAAATTGTGTGTGTTTTGGAAAACATGATACTGTAGCTAACAACTACTGACTTTTTTTGGCCTACGACAGAGGTATGAGCTCTAAAAAAAGAAATATCTTCATAATGGAAAACCTCCTCATTTTCTCATTACTGACTTCAATAGACTTTGGATGAAGTGAGTCTGAAAACATTAATGAGAATAGCAGAGAAACGATGTTCAAAGAGCACTCCCTTGACTTGATCCCTGCTATTTAAGACAGAAGTACAGATATATATTGAAATGTCCAATCCATGCAAGACAATGCTCTCTCTTCCTCCTCTTCCTCTAGAATCCCTAGTTTCTTTAAAACCATTAACTGGGGACTTTGGTTAAGATGGCTACCCGAGTGGAGAAGGCCAGCTCTTACAACTGTACACCAGCAAAGATCTAAGAAGAGCACCAGATCAAAAAACACTCAAGAAATTCAAAGAGAAACTATTGTCCAGGCTCAAGACTGCAGGAAAAAAATAGCCAGCAGCCTACAGGCACTAGAAAAGGAGTCTTACCAGAAAAAACAGTACAAGAACAGATAAATATACCTATAAGCTTAGACCAGAAGCCCGCTAGGAACACCTAAAACTATAGCGAAGTGTACCTGAAAGCAGACAAAAAAGCTGAAGGGTGGTCAGAAGTCCATGTCAGTCTGAGAGCCCAAAGGGCACTGGAGGTTAATAGCACTCTGACCTGAAAACTCCAGAGGGCCTTCAGGACCACAGCACTCTGAACCTGAATGATCCAAGCGGGGCTTAAAATCTGCAAGTGCTCTCAACACAAACACACCAGGGGAAGTGGATGCCAGCCTTAGAAATGTAGGAAATAGTCAAACAGGGCCCAACTACTTAGTCTCAGGAAGGGGAAAGGCCTAGCCTAGTCTAGCCTTGGCAAACATTCCAAATCAGGAACTTAGGCTAGAGATAACAGTAAACAGAAGACTATGAAGAGATACTATGGATCCAGAGATGCCTAAGAGACAAACCCAGGAGAGTTTAATTCCAGAGCTTCAGAGGAAAAAAAATCATTTGTCCATAAGGACTACAAAAATTTTAAATCAAATAAGAGTTGGGGGGGGACTGGAAAGAGATCAAATAACTTAGAACAAAAGGTAGAAAACTCTGCAAAAGAGATCCCCTGAAAATCATTATAGAGACAACAAGGAATATTCAAAGAAAATCAAACTGGAAAAAAATAAAACAATTTATAAGATATCTACTATTTAAAATAAAACTCATTTAGAAAAGTTTAAGGAGGAATCAGACAAAAATCATCAAACTCCCAGAAAACCATTACCAAAAATCCCCATGACACGATATGCCAAGAAAACTATCCAGTTCTAGTAGAACTAGAGGGCAAAGCAAAAAACAGAAAGAATCTATTGGTGACCTCTTGAAAGAAACTTCAAGATGAAAACTCCCCAGAACGTCATAGCCAAAATTCAGAGCTTCCAGGTCAAATAAAAAATGCTGCAAATAGCCAAAAAAAAATAGTTTCAAGTAGCAGGGTACCACAGTCAGGATCATATAGATTATAAAAAGGGAGAAAATCCTAGAATACAATATTTGAAAAGGTAAAAGATAAAAACCAAAAATAACTTAACATGCAAAAGTGAGTATAATCCATCTGAGGAAAAAGTAAACCTTCAAGTACTTTCCAAGAATTCCTTATGAAAAGATCAGAGCTGAGTAGAAATGATAAAATGCAAACACAGTCGTCAAAAGGAACCTAGAAAGTAAATACATATGAAAAACTGGAAAGGAATATATGATGACAATATGATTATATTGTAATAGAGAAAAAATTAGCAAGCGTCCCATCAGAAACCTATTATCTTCAAGGGTCAAAAAGAGAGTTAAATAAAACAAATACAGGGACTGTGTATTTCATTTTGCTTTTGATGGTCTTACAAGAAGAAAGGGAGGAAAAAAAGGAACACACTGTGGAAGAGAAGTGGGAAAAAGAGTATCCCCTTTTTTTGAGGGCAGATCATGAAAGAAAAAAGAAAGAAAGGAAGGAAGGAGGAAGAAAGAATGAAATCAGTGAGCAGAATGAAATTCGGAGAGAGATAGACAAACAGAACAGCTTTGAAGCTAATATGCTGAATTTAGCATATACTCAAATTTAAAAAGAAAACTAGGTCATATGAATAGACATTCACCATTTATTTCATACACAATCTCCTTCTTCCATTCTTAGTATATGAAAATAATCACATTTGGGGCTGCTTGTGGAGTTCAAAATAACAAAAAATTGTATGTGTGTGTATATATATTATATATGTATGCATATATAATACATACATAATACACATATATACACATATATAATACATACACATACACACATAAACACGTGTATATTTTAAAAAACACAACTTAGGTGGCACCTCTTGCAAAAGGTCTTTCACAGTTCTTTCCAATTGTTAGTGTACTTTCCCTCTTGAAATTATTTGTATGACTTTGTATACACTTTGCCTTTACTTATCTGTGTACAAGTCCCCTCCCCCACAGGGGGTGGGGAGAGTTGTCAGGGACTGTTTCATTTTTGTCTTTCTGTTCTCAGCAGGTAGTCAGTGACTTGCTAGAAGAACATAGAATTTTAGGAAAGACCCTTGGAATGTGAACAGACTTAGGTGTCTTTGTCCCAGAACTTAGGAAAGGAAATCATCTGACATTTCTGGGGCCCTGTGTCCTTATCCATAACACAGGGACAGCACAGTGCCTAACAATTAGCATGGCTTGGCATATAATAGGCACCTAATAAATGTTTACTGATTGATTAATTTAAAAACAAAAAAACCTTGCTCTACCTATGTTGCAGGGTTGTTGTAAGGAAGACACCAGGTAAAGCATAAAGCTGTGTGTGTGTGTGTGTGTGTGTGTGTGTGTGTGTGTGTGTATCTGTCAGTTATTTTTCCTTTTTAGATAGCCCTGTTGGGAGTGGTGGTAGAAGGGGAGAGAACCTGAGGTTCTCCGCCTCAGATTTTCAAATCCAATAGTTTAGGCATCTTTTTACTCATTTCACAGAAATGCTGTGAACACCAGAGCAAAGAATTTCTAAGAGTTTATCACCACCACCATCTGCTTGTCACTTGATCAAAGAAACTGCTTTACAAACCAGAACTACAATCAGCATGCCTGCCAACCTCACTCTCAACACATGCAGACACTAAGAATTTTTTTTTGCCCCTTTAAAAGAATGATCGAGAGTCTTCATTCAGCAATTTTAGTAAAACTTCAGAACCAATAGAATATTTAACACATCTGGCTATGCTAAGAAAAAAAAATACATCAACTGCCTAATGAAGGATGAGGGGTAGCCTACAGCCCTTACTGGGAGAGAGCCAAAATCTCCGACCAAAAAATAAAAGTGGAGAAATCACACATTGGGGTTCACTGGGAAAGCCTCAAAGCTATGTAGAGTCATTATGAGACGCCCATGCCCAATTTGCCTTCTTCTTTATTTGGTCAAGGCTTTGAAAATCAGGACTGAAAAACTTGAAAAGAGTAATACATATGCTTAATTTTTAATATGTTTAAAAAAAAATCCTTATCCAAACTACCTACAGCTGGCTATCTGGAAGATGTACTTAGTTGAGTACAAATAATTTCCTAATTACGTAGGAAGAACTGTGTTATTTTGAAAAAAAATTGGATGTGGAAAGAAGACTCTGGATTATATGAAATGCAATAAATGTTCTCCACTGCCCCTTCACCCTCAAAGATCTATAGGGGATATGTCAGCTGAACATCTCCCCCGGGACAGGGACTGTTCCTGTGCTTTCACTGATTTATGGATGAAGAAGCTCCATCTACAAATTCAAGTCAACACTATCTCTGCAATTTATGAATCTTAAAGAGTTGTCAAAAACGCTGAGGAGTTAAGGGATTTCCCTAGGGTAACAGCTCGTATAGAACCCAAGTCTTCCTGGCTGTGAAGGATGGCTCTCTAGACCACCCTGCCTCTCTATGATATCTTGGGGAATGAGAAAGCTAACCTCAGGGATGAAAATAGGAAAGCACCACGATCAGAAATATTGGAAAGACAAGAAACTTGTAGAGACCTTATGTTCCACTGGCTTTCACAA